GGGCCCTGCGGGGCGGCACCTCTGTCCGCCCGCCGCCTCAGCCCCGCGGAGCGGCGGGCCGGCTCTGCTGATCTCGTCCAGCGTCGTGCTCCTGAGCTGCGGTCCTGTTCCTGCGTCTGTAGCTTTCCCCTTTCATGGCCGAGCAGTGTCCATTGCATGGAAGTGCCGCAGTGTAGTCCCCAGCTGTGCACCTGTGGAATGGCTTCCAATATTTAGTGATTACTAATAAAAATACTGTAAGCATTCAAGCACAAGAGAAGAGGTTTTTGCTGATCTTAATAGCAGAGGCTCCTCGCCCTGTCCCCACATCCAAGTAAACTCTGGGTTGTTCAAAGACCAATACCGTTTCTGTTCTTAACCCTCCTGGGGCATACTGCACCACCGGTGTCATTTTGCAGGGTGAACATAAACACCTATTTTTGTATATTTCCTACCACAGGAAACCTACTCTTGACACTTCCTGTTTTGATGGAAGTTTTACTTTGGCTGTAGCAGGGCTACTGGCCACTCACGCATCACAGCAAACGGTTTGTCATTCTTAGCACATTCAAAGCAGTGGCGCTTCTTTGAAAAGGCAAGGCAAGCCGGCGCTTTAAGCATTTAGAATACAAGAAAGCCAAAGATTGCCTCGAAGAGGGCCTGTTTTATTGCTGCAGTTTACAGACACCAGTGGGAAAAGGCCGTTATTTCCTCTTAGCAGTGTAGGTGCTTTGAGGATGCGTGTTTACTAGTATGATTCCTCTCAGCCTCCTAGTGGGTAAACACCTTATGTACACAGGAGGAACTAGAAACCAAAGCTATCTTAAAGGGAAATTTGAATGGATATATTCCCAGATCAGAACCGCAGTGGATAATCCCCTTTCTCAAATCCAATTCGGCAATGTATCGTATCCAGAACCCCTCCCCGCAGCATCTTTAATCTTCTCAGCTCCTGATACAATTTTTCTTTCTTTGTTGGCTTTTTAAGACAGGGTCTCACTATATAGTTCAGGCTGGTCTCGAACTCACAGCAGTCCTCCTGTCTCAGCCTTCCTAGTGCTGGAATTACAGGCATTCACCACCATGCCAGGCTAAGAAGTTTTTAATGTGTCATTCCATCTCCAGTTTGTCTCAACTGTTTCCAGAACAGTGATTTGCTATACAATTGCGGTTGTGTTATCCTCAGATAAAAAGTCCTCCCTTACTTCCTATTATCAACACTGAAAGGCACTGTAAACTGATGACTCCATAGGCTTGAGATTTCCCATATACATCTAGGGTCTTGACTCCCAGTGAAAAACTCTGAAGGTCAGCTACCACTGGGCCTCCATTTCCATATGGTAGCTGGTGTTTAGATGAGTGTTTTCCTAGTTCTTGTCTTCCTTTCTGTGAAGTTTTGCTAGTTGCTGTTTTTATAACTCTTATACTGTTCTTGCCCCCTCCACTTTACTTGTCCGATCCAAATAACCTGTCAGTGGACAAAGAAAGAATCTTTGTAGATGACTACTTTGCAGTTCCCCGGCTTTTCCTAGAATTAGACCTTTACCTGGTCGTTTAGTTTTGTGCTCTTTTAACTGCCATCTTCTCATGTTCTGTGTTACTGAAGTATGCTTAGATTAGATTTATAGAGCCCTTGTCTCCTCTTAGAATGACAGCATCACAATGCCTACTTGGCATTATGAATGGTTCCTGTGACTGTTTTTTTGACTCAGGGTTTCACTATGCAGTTCAGGCTGACCTTGAACTCACTGTGTAGCCCAGACTAGCCTCAAATTCACTGTGCTTCTCCTGACTCAGCCTCCTGGGTACTGGGGTTATGAGCATGTGCCACCACTCCTTGTAGTTCCTATGACTTTTAAGGGTATTAACATGAGTATCCTTGGTTCTTGTTCTCCTTTGCCTTCAAAGAATATTAGTTTGCTTATTATCTTTCTGCTTTCCCCCAGAAAGTTAAAGATTTAGCCATTAGTCTAATTGGAAACCACAGCTAACTATGGTTAACTCTGCTTGAGCTAATGTAACGACAGAGTTACTCTTAAGATTAAAAGAAAATATGGCCACATGTAATCTTTCCTGCTTGGAAGGGTATCAGAAGAAAGTTGAATGTGCTAGCCTTGTGTGCTTTCAGACTCCGGCTACTATTTTCATGAGTTCCTTGGTTCTTAAACATAACGTTCTCTTCTCTCTCTTCCATCTAGCTCAGTGAGTGGCAATCATTTTAAAGCAGTCTTTGAAATGTCTTGCAGTTCCTAAGCTGATCCTCTTCACACAAAATTTTGGTCACTAGTGCTTTTCCCATGACTTAAGTCTCCCAACTTACCCACACATTTTTCTTCTCTTTTCTGGAGATAGTATATATGTAATAATATGTCTATATAATACTTCGGTATCTTGCTTCTTAATTTTTGTGTCACCTTCTTGCTGCTCATCTTTTTTGCTGTGTGTCATCTTTTAAAACTCTTCCATTTTTTTCTCTTCTATTACCCTGTATAATGTTGGAGGTTTGAACATTGTTCTGCAAGTCAAGGTAAGTTCTTTTTCACCCTTAGATCTAGTTTATAAGAAAGAAGAAACTTTGTACATCTGTTGAAGTTGTGCGTGTGTGTAGAGAGAGAACTTGCTGACCAGTGATGTTTGATATGAACACATTTGATGACTTCAGTCTGGTTGGTGGTCATTAGAATTGCTCCTTGGTCAGATTACAGGTCTGTTATCCCTGACATTAAATGTAGTATATCCCTGGATAATTTAAAAAAAAACACACATAGTATGTCCTAATTATATGTAAGCTATTTTCTTTTTTCCCATCAGTTGTCCCAGAAGCTAATAAATGATCAGGGAAAAGTAAACTACCCCTTTTCCCCCCGGGGATTTGGTAGAATGCACAGAATGCTGAAAGCAAATCAGAGAGAACCTGACTATTACTCATAGGAAGTGTTTTGCAAAAATGTCTTTTAAGTTCTTTTAGCTATAATACTTATTGTATCAGGTAGTAGAAATAATCATGTTATTTCCTGTCCTAAAACTCTAGGCATTAGATGTGTTTTCATGTTGGTTTTAGAGTTGTTTGTTGATTTCTTCATTGGCATAGGTACATAAGAACTCAGCATCATTGTAGAGTAAAAGAATGAAGCCAGTAGAGAGGCAGTGTTTGAAAATGCAAGAGCCTGGAATGCCTGCCACTGTAGTGATAGTTTACCAAGTCTCACACACTTGCCTTGAGGAAAGTACTGCTGTCTTCCTGGTATTATGAGGAAACAGGTTCAGAGAGGTTCTAGGACTTGCCCAGATTCACACAGCTAGTTCAGTGCTTCTCAGAAAGTTCTTTCTCTTAGGGCTAGGAGGATTGTTTCCCTCTGCTGTAACATGTTTCCTAAAATCTCACCAGGTTTTTAATTCCTCTGTTCCATGGGTTTGCTCAGTTAAAAATAATAAACAGATGTGCTGTACACATTTGGGAAAGACCCCTCTCAGTTTTCATTAAGGAGAGAGAGGGAGCGGGAGACAGGAGGGGAGAAAGTATAGGGAGTTGAACATCTGGTTTTATTTTTCTTGTTTTTGTATTGTTTGCTATTCAATATCTTTTGAAAGGCTATTGACTGTCTGGCTTTTCTTTTCCTGACATTTCTTTTCTCAATTTTACCTTTACTCCTGTAACAGCTGCGGGGAAGTCAACATTTGTGAATATCCTAAAAAAAGTCTGCGAGGATTGGGAGGTGGTTCCTGAACCTGTTGCCAGATGGTGCAATGTTCAGAGCACTCAAGATGAATTTGAGGTATGAAAATGAAATTTAAGTGAATAAAATAAAACCTTTTAGATTAGAGGAGCAGCATATTTAATTGCTTGGCTTTCCCCTCTTCTTCCAATAAAACTTTCAAATCTGGCTTTAAGTTTGAATCTTTGTCTGGGTGCATGTATATGTATGTAAAGATGCACTTAAAATTTATGCAAAATATAAATAAAGTTTAAAAAACTTGTTAAAAACACTAGTAAAGTTTTTATAAGTTAAATTGCAAGTTAGATTTCTCGAGTGGCTTTTTACATTTTGTTTTATTTTATTTATTTATTTATTTATTTTTTTATCTTTTTGAGACAGGGTCTCACTGTGTAGTTCAAGCCAGTCATGAACTCACTTTGTAGCCCAGGCTGGCCTCGAACTTGCAAAAATCCTCCTGCCTCAGCCTCCTGAGTGTTGGGATTGCAGATGTGCACCACCACGCCTGGCTACATTTTGTTTTAAAACAAGAAAAACAGTTACCAACTGAATTTTTTTATAGTTTATCTTCTAAAGCCTTTTGTCATAGGAAAAATCATTTTCCTCTCATTTCTTTGTGTTATACACCATTCTTACTAGACTTTAATTCCAGGCACCAAGTTTCATTTTCCCAGCATTTGTGCATACTACATTGAAATTAGAAAAGGAAGGGAATAATAGTTAGATTTCATTTTTTATAGTAGAGTTTTTAGTTGTGTTTGTACGAGAGTGTGATCGATAAGATTTTTATTTCTGGTGAAATGAGAATTGAAAGAGGAAAAGAAATCTTTAAAAATAGAAACATGTCCTAGAATGTTACTTTGTTTAATCTGAGGAAGACAGAAGATTAAGAAAAATATCTATTGTTTTAGCTGGTAGGAAGATTTCTCGGAATGGTACTTCAGTATTTTAGAGGTAAATCACATATATAAGAAGGAGTCACTAGGAAGGTTATCTGTAGAGTTTGAGGATATGTTATTTTGAATGAGTGAAAGTATTCTTTCACAAGCCCTCTATTTGTCGAGTATAGTTAAATTTAGGTCTGGTGCTGCCCAATTAAGTATATATACTCCAATCCTTAGAATATGTAGAGCTCAGTTTTAAAGGTCCCTATGTGATATTTTTCTTTCTTTTTTTTGAGACAAGGTCTCACTATGCAATTCAGGCTGGCCTTGAGCTCACTTATGTAGCCAGGGCTGGCCTCAAACTCACGGTGACCCTCTTGCCTCAGCCTCCCAAGTGCTGGGATTACAGGTGTGTGCCACCAATCCCAGCTGTGATCATATTTTCTTATGAAATTGATACTGCTACTCTTTGGGGGAAAGGCAAGGTTAGCTTTAGAATTTCAGTTAAGGGGGGTAAATATATTTGTTTTCCTTGCATTTATTTTGATTGACGTGATATAGCTGTAGAAGACTGTATGAGACCTATGTATAGTTTGAAGAACAATTTTTGTTGTTTTTGCTTTTTTGAGGTAGAGTCTGTCTCAGTGTAGCACAGGCTCGCCTTGCATTTGAGGTGATCTCATGGCTCAGCTTCCCAAGTGCTGGGATTACAGGTATATGCCACCATGCCTTGCAAAGGTTTTAAAGTTAATATCTTTGTAACCATTGTCCATGTCAAAAACTGAACAGTCATTGTTCTAGAAATTCCTCCTTATCTTTCTCCAGTTGTAGCTCCTTGAACCATTGTTCAGATATTTGTGATGCCTCCTAGTTAAAAATCATTGCTCTAGACAACCACTGCTGTCATCAGTATTGAGCCCTTTGGTTATTTTGTCAGAGGAGAGGTTGAAAAGCATTGTATTATTAGTACATTTGGGAAGATATTGAACTTGGAATGAGAGTGCAGAGAGTTAGATTATGTTAATGACTGATGCTGTTAGGCAGTTACACATTGATATATCTGTCTTTACTTTAAGACCTTATGACTTTATACTAATATCAGTGGGCTGGGACATTTTTTTCCCATGTACTAGAATCAGAGTTCCAAACTGGTTTTCCGTTACAACTAGCATACCACAACATATTCTTTCATCAGTCATTCACTGCAATCCAGTCTTGTCTTAGTGATGTTATAGTGTGATTATCCTTGTAGAATTTCATTCTTTTTTTTGTTGTTGTTGTTTTTTTACAGTACTGGGGATTGAACTCACGACCTTGCTCTTGCCAAGCAGGCACTTATGCCACTGAGCTATATCCCCAGCCATCCTTGTAGAATTTTGATGCAAAATCTTAGAGGGTAGCTTTAATTTTTTTTTTGAGTGTACTGAGGGCTGTTACACTGTCAGTCTTCCCATCCTGCATGCAGAGTTTCAGACACTGTGGGGACAATATTTCGGGGATAAGTTGGACAATATGAGGGATGGGCAGTTGGCTAGCTGTCCTATATCTTCAGATGTTTTCCTTTTTTTCCCCCTGAACACCACTAAATTCAAGAAGTAGATTTTTCTTCAACCTGGGACCTTCTTCCCCAAACCTATTTCTGATCTATGCCTGGAAATTATATAGTGTGAATTGCCCACTGTTCAAATCTCAGCTTTCTTAGAATACTGTGAAGAGTGAGCAGTCCACTGTTTTAGGCCCAACCCTGGCTGTTCCTACTTCATATGTTGTCCACTTGATTGTATTCGCAGGGGTAGAACTGGAAGATTTGGTCTATTAGTACCTCTTACTCTTCCTTTAACTAAGTATGTACCTGAACATTTAGGCTGCTTTCTTTTGTTTTGGCTTTTCTTTTTTTCCCCCTGCCACCTAGTGGCTGAAATGTTGCTGTACTGTTGATAAGCCACCACTAATTTTGGTAAAATAGCAAGAGGCAAAGTATTTGAAAGATTATATAGCCTCCTTTCCCCTTGCCTCTTCTCTGGTAAAGATGATCTTCAAAACCTACCACTTAGATGATTATCAATCTTTGTTTTAAAGATTTTTTAAAAAAATAGCGTCCTTTCATTGGTGATTTATGTTGTGCATGTCTAAAGTTTTCATGTAATTACTTCCTTTTAGCTTATTTTTGAGATACACAGGCTGTTAGGGTGATTGTTCTGTCTTTCTTTTTTCACTGAGCTAGATTCTGTGGGAGGATCACTGCTATTAATTGTGAAATATTGTTTTAGTTTTTAAAAAGTAAAAAAAAATTTAAGTTAACAAATAAAACATATATGGTATACAACATGATGTTTTGAAATATGGGTACATTGTTGGGTGGCTGAATCCAGGTCATTAGCATGTGTGTTATTTATTACCATTAGGCCACTCAGAAATGAGTAACTGAGAAAAAGGGGTGAGATATACTTGTCTGTGAAATAATAGCATATTTTTTCTTTTATTTTTGTATCTTGATATTTACATTTTTCACTCATTTTAGCAATGAACTATTCCTCCTGTAAAATGGTGAGTCTACTGTGAAGAGACAATGGATATGATTTATAGCCAAATAGAAGTTTCTGAAAGTTGAATTAATTGGACC